ACAGACAGACAGACAGACAGACAGACAGACAGACAGACAGACAGACATGGATGGATAGCACTTAGCAATAGCAAAGATTTATATACCACTTCACAGTGCTTAAAGCCCTCTTAAGTGGTTTCCAGAGTTAGCCTATGGCCCATAACAGTCCTCCTTTTACCCACCTCGCAAGGAGGGAAGGCTGAGTCAACCTTGAGGCAGTTGGGATCAAACTGCTGACAGTGGGCAGAATTAGCCTGCAATACTGCATTTTAATCATTGTGCACCATGGAAGGGAGGGAGGGAAGGAAGGAAGGAAAATAGCAACAGCCCTGATCTCAGGGGAAACTTCAACAAACGTCTCACTCCTTCATGACTCACCTGCTAAGTATGGCAACTTCCACCCAAGAGCGAAGGGTCCTTTCTCCATCATGTCGGTCGACTTCTTCTAGATGCCAACACCCAACCGCAGGAAGAATTCCGGAATCCGTTGTCTGCCACCAGAGCTACTAAGGTCGACTGACCAACTCTCCCCTCGGTTGGAAGGAAGGTATTGGCTCCCAGCTCTGACCCACAAGTTTTACACTTTCCCCAAGCGAACCGCCTCCTTTTCTCTGACGTCATTCTTGCAAAGATGGATGTCCGGTTGGAGAAACGGAGACAAAAGTAGGGGAGGAATGGAATGAGGAAGACAAGGGCGCACCTGGAACCAGACACTGGCCTTTTCCTAAAGGTGCGGTCCCCGGGAGGAAAGAACTCAGAATACCTTTGGGGCAGAGACATGATGGAAACTTCGTAACAATGAGAACAATTGGTCAGTGGAATAGCTTGCCTCCAAAAATCGTGGGCACTCCAATACAGGATATTTTTAAGAACAAAGTGGGCAGTCACTTGTCTGAGATGGTACGGTTCTCCTGCTTGAGCAGGTGGCTGGACTAGAAGACCTCCAAGGTCCCTTTCAGCTCTATTCCTATTCTATTCTATTCCCTCTCTTCATTCTATTCTATTCTACTCTATTCTATATTCTATTCTATTCCATTCCATTCCTTTTTTCCTTTATTCTATTCTATTCTATTCNGAACACGGTTGCTTAACAAATCTGGCCTCCCCATTGATTTTGCTTGTCAGAAGGCCACAACAGAGAATCACGTGACTCCCGCCCCCAAACCTGTGTAACCGTCGTAAGTATGAACCAGTTGCCAGAATTTTGACCACGTGATCACTGAGATCAGTGGCGGGATTCAGCCAGTTCGCACCACTTCGGGAGAACCGGTTGTTCCCTTTCTGAGCAGTTTGTTAAACTGGTTGTTGGAAGAAATCATTAGGGAAGAGAACCGGTTGTTAAATTATTTGAATCCCACCACTGATTGAGATGCTGCAAAGAGGAAGCTCATACCTATAACCTCCATGCTGATGTCTCCTCTTCCGTGGACCGAAGATCCATCTTGGGTCACTGTGTAGGTTCCAGAGTCATCCTGGCTTAGATTTTCAATGTGGAGAGAGCAGTTTGGGCCTGGAGTTTCTCGCCCGGTGTAGGCAGGTCCAAAGTCGTATCCGCTTAACGGAGGCAGGTAGAGAGTGACGATCAAATTTCGCTTGCTATCACTCCCTCCTCGATACCAATTGCAAATAAAGAAGGCAGCCGGGGCAGAACGGACGGTTAAATTGATTCCCTGCCCTTCTATGGCATTTGAGGGGTTCATGAAAACGGGGAGGTTGTATTTGGTGGCCTGAGCTTGGGCCGAGAGCAAATTAGAGCCGAGGATGAAAACTATCACAGGAAGAAAAAAAAAGGAGAAATGGTCATTGCATCAAAACATTCATTGCATTTACCAAACATATATGGAGAGGCCTTGTCTGGCCCTGCCTTCGTTTCTGATTCATTCCACTCTTTCATTAACTATAGGCAAACGCCCAGGTTACTGTGTATAGCAATAGCACTTAGACTTATATACCGCTTCATAGTGCTTTGCTACAGCCCTCTCTAAGCGGTTTACGGAGTCAGCCTCTTGCCCCCCCCAACAATCTGGATCCTCATTTGACCCACCTCGGAAGGAGGGAAGGCTGAGTCAACCTTGAGCCTGGTGAGATTTGAACTGTCCAATTGTAAGCAGCCGGCAGGCAGCAGAAGTAGCCCGCAGTACTGCACTCTAACCACTGTGCCACCGTGGCTCAAGATAGATAGATAGATAGATAGATAGATAGATAGATAGATAGATAGATAGATAGATAGATAGATAGATAGATAG